CTTGAACTCTGGCATGCCTCACTTGATCTCAGAGGTGAAGCAGGGCTCCAGAAACTCAATTCTTTCTGTCACTCAGTATAGCCCTGATCTCTCCCATTGCTGGATTCTCAAACAAGCCACCTGCACATCGTGGCAAAATAGCTGTCAGGAGTCCTCAGATCAAGTCTAATAGGAAAAAAGTGACAGCCTTTGCCTTGGTATGCCGAGAAAAATTCTCACAGGTACACACTTTCCTTTCCATCTCTCCTCACCTCTTTCTGTGGTCTGTTCTTGCTTTCTGACCACTGAGCCTTGAGTACCTTGTTAAATGCCTTTGGGACAAAGTGATTTAGTGGAAGAGTAGCTTAAGACATAGCAAGAGTCTAGAGAGGACTGCAAGGCTAGGGAAAGGAGGTCATCCCACCCCAGTAGAAATCTTGTGGCATGGACAGGAAACCTTATCACGTGTGTTCAATCATAAAGGCAGCTCTTGAGGAAAAGCCCTCACCAGACTTCTTTCAAGAAGAGCTAGCTCTCAGGCTGAGGTGGGAGGATCGCTTGAGCCCGGGAAGATGAGGTTTCAGTGAGCTGTGATTGTGCATCTGCAATCTAGCCTGGGCAACAGAGCAAAACCCTGTCTCAAAGAAATAAAAATAAAATTGTGTCTGTGATGGTTTTTACCTTTCAATAGTTTGTTTTAATAAATTTGAAATCTACAAACAAGTTGAAAGAGTAGTATAATGAACACATATTGACACCTTTATTCACCTGGATTTACCAAAAGTTAGTATTCATTTTTGTCTCTTCATACACACACAGAATGTTTCTTCTGAACTCTGAAAGCAAGTTCCAGACATTGTGAAAACACAGTCCAAAATATTGCAGAATGCAACTCCTAAGAACAGCATTCTCCTATATAACCAAAGTACCACTTCTAAGAAAATTATTGGTGATTTTATCAAAATTATTGTTCATATTCGGTTATCACAATTTTTTTTATAGATCTATCCCTTTTGATTCTAGAACCCAGGGTTATACTTTGCCATTATTTATTCCGTCTTTCTCTATTTATTTATTTATTTATTTATTTTCGAGACAAGGTCTCACTCTGTCACCCAGGCTGGAATGCAGTGGTGTGAACACAGCTCACTGCAGTAAAAAATTGCTGTGCTCAAGCAGTCCTCTGGAATAGCTAGAACTGCAGGTGTGCGGCACCACCACTGGCTAATTTTTTATTTTTATTTTTTTGTAGAGCAGGGTTTCATGTTCTGCAGGCTGGTCTCAACACCCCCAGCCTAAAGTGATCCTCCTGTCTTGGCCTCTCAAAGTACTGGAATTATAGGCATGAAACACTGAATCCAGCTTGTGCTATCTTTTTTAACTATTAATCTAGAAGAGCTTCTCTCCCTTACTGGAGGAGTGGGAAATTGGGGAGGATAGGAAGTGGTCTTTCATGTTGATGATTTTGATGAGGCCAGGCTCATGGTTTGTAAAACAAATCTTACTTTGGATGTATTTGATGTTTTATTATTATTGTTATTATTATTATTTGGTTTTTGTTTTTCTTTCTTTTTCAGTAGATAAGGGGTTGAATATTTTTCGCACAAAAACTACCTAGGGTCACGCTGCATCCTTTTCAGGGCTGCATGTCAGCTGGTATAACGTCAGAAGTTCCATTTTTTTGGTGATGTTAACTTTGTTCACTTGGTGGATCGAGATATCTGCTAGATTTCTCTATTGTAAAGATATTGTTTGTCTTTGTAATTAACAGGATATCTGAGGGATGACATTTTGAAGCATGTGCATATCCTATTCTCTGTCAATTTTCCCCCAAGATTTTTGCATTTATTGATGACTCCAACCTAAATAAATACACCAGCGCTTGCAAGGTGTTGGTTTTTCTAATTCTGGAATCCCTTCTTTACTCTGCTGTATTTTAAAAATGTCATTACAAACTCATGGATTCTGTTCAACTGTAATGATTCATTACTGACATCACTGGCTTTCTTTTTTGTTTCTGAAATTGGCCCTAGTTTGATGAATAGGAGACCTCTCAAGTTAACTCCTGTGTTCTTTCAAGAAGTTCCCATCAATGCTTCAGTACTTCTTCCTTTATGGCACAACAGAATGTTCACCTTGTATCTTCCCTGCTCCACACCTACAATAGCCATTTCTCTACTAGGTGGTTTCTTATGTTTAGGAATGGTGTTTAAAAGGGTGTCATTCATTCTAATGTCCTTTTTCAGCAGACAGAGCTAAGAAGATATATCTGGAGGTTATAGAGGTACCCCCAAATGCAATTCCATACCACAGGTTCTTCCTTTTCCCTTTCTGTCACAGTGAGAGTAATAGTTATGAACCATATCCATAAATTTACTACAGTACATGCAAAATACTGTTGGAATTATGAAACCACCACTGCTATCACCCACAGACTTAAGTACAATTTAAGATTTCTCTTTGTCCTTAGAATATATATTCCCTCAGGCAGTAGAGTCGGACTCTTCGGTTCTAAAGTTGCTTAATTAAATTTTTTTCTCTATGATTATATCATTAATTTAATATGTAGTTAGCTTAATTTGTTTCTATCCTGTTCAGTTTTAGAGCTCTCTCCCTCATCTTTATATATATATTTAATCTTATTATTTACTTAATTTTATGTTAAAATATGTAAAATATATGGTTCAAAGTAAAATACATATACTATATATGTACTTTTTTACATTTTGCTTTTATCGCTTAATCTATTCTTGGAAATCACTATGTTCATAGAGAACTTCATACTTTTATGCAGTGATATTCTGGTAGAGTTACTGTAATTTATTTAGCTACCAATGAGTGTGCAGGTAGGTTGTTTCCATATATTTTTATAAATAACTCCAGACTGAATAACCATGAACACATACTTAGTGGTTGTTTTTGTAGGTGTATTTTCATGCTATATTCCCTTCTACCTTTGGAATGAGCAGTCTACTGCTAGGAACAGTCTAATATAGCATTACTAGATATTGCTAAATCCCCCCTCATTAAGGGCTAGGATAGTTTACATTCTCATCAATCATGTTTGGATGCCTTCTTCCCCTCACCTGGTTCTGTTAGCAATTTTTGAAATTTTTGCTTTGTCATTCAGGCTGGAGTGCAGTGGCACAATCGTAGCTCACTGCTGCCTCAGATTCCCGGGCCTCAGAATCCTAAGTTCCACTGATCCTCCCACCTTAGCCTCCAAGTGGCTGGGACTACAGCCTCCCAAGTGGCCAGGAGTACACCACCACACCCATTTTTTCTTTTTTTTTCAAGAGACTAAGTCTCACCATCTTTCTCAGGCTTATTTTGGCTTGTTTGATGGGTGAGAAATGGTTTCTCTGTATATTTTATCTGGTATCAGAATCACAACCCTATGTTGCCCCAACTCTTTATTCTTAGGCTTTGAATTACTCTATTTGAGGTGTTAGATTTTGCTTTGTGAGACAATTTAATGTATTTTTTATTTAATAGAAATTTTTAAGCTCATTTACATGTATAAATATAACCAATAAATTTAATCTTATCTGACATTATTTTAGATTTTATGTATATGTAATTTATATTGTGTTACTGTGTTTTGTATGGGGTCCATTCGTTGTTCTTTTGAAGTAATTGATTTTGGTTATGGGGAAGGTTGTATTATTTTAGTGATCATTAAACGTAACTTTTATTTGCTTTTGGTTTCTTTTTCCTCACTTAATCTATATTTTGTTTTTCAGCTTTAAATCAGATCCATTGAGTCTATCTATGAAACAATTCATTAGCTTAGTCTATTTTATCATTTCTGTGACCTTTCTCCTTCTATTTTAAGTTCATTATTTCTGTTTTGTCAGAACACATAACACATGTTTGCTTACTCTTCCTCCACTCTGGTTTCCTCCTTTGCTTTTATCTTAGATTTGCAAATAAATGTTTCAGACCCCATCAGCTCTTTTGCCAGTCATATCTTGGTTGGATGGAACACATTGCCATTGGGTTCTTAATTGTATAAAATGTTTTCTAGAGTCTTGATATTGGAAGGATAACTTCACTGATAGTTTTTTCCCCTGCAAGTAACCCTTTTGTTTGTTTGTTTGTTAGTTTGTTTTGGTGTGGAGGTCCAGGAGACTTTTTTTTTCTTAAAGTGTAGTGTTAAAAATTAGGCACAGGTACAAGCGTATTAGGTCTTCTTTGCCAGTTTTCTTTATTAGTTACTTTCTCTTGAATACTTTTGACCTCTATGTTGCTTTTTGTTCTCTTACCCATGTTTATGCCTTTCCTCAATGATCCTGATGGTATTTTCAGTTGAATCACTTCTCTTTCAGACACCTTGTAATTAATTTTTATTTCTAATATAGTTTAGTGTTCAGTTTCTTTCCAGGGTTTAATTAACTCTGGTTTTACAACTTTCTGGTATTTGTTTTGTCCATATATTTTTAAAATATTTCTTTGAGCTACATTTCCATATCTTCAGATTCTATATCAGTGTATTTCACGTAGGTTTAGATGTGTTCCATTTTTGTTCTGTTGCAAATTTTTGAGTAGAATTGTATTGACCTGCAATATTTTGATTGTCTTTTTATACTTTGTTGTTATAGAACATTGGGTGGATATTTGTCTACATGTCTGTATGCATTTTGAGATGTTCTGTTTTCTTAGATCATTAGTAGCAATTGCGTATAGAAAGAGGTAGGAATTTGAATGACTTTTTAAGTCTCCTAGTTCAAAAGAACAACAATATTTTCTTATATAACCAAACAGTAAGAATCATTTGGTTCTATCTTGGAGGGAGTGAGAGGAGGGTAGATGGCCTTCTGACTTAGTGATTCTCCTTTGCTTTAACATGACTTCTGCTTTTCATGACTTTCTTTCTTTTGAGACAGGGTCTCGCTCTTGTCTAGGCTGGAGTGCAGTGGCATGATTATGGCTCAATGCAGACTTGACCTCCTGGGTTCAAGTGATTCTCCCACGTCAGTTTGCTAAGTAGCTGGGACCACAGGCACCTGTCACCATGCCTGCCTAATTTTTTTTTGTATGTTTTATAGACACAAAAAAAATAACATGGTTTAGCCATGTTGCCCAGGGTAGTCTCAAACTCCTGAGTTAAGGTGATCTTCATCACTTTCTTATCTCTTTCTCCACCAAGTCTTCAAGGAGTTTCCATTCTAAGTTGCTCCTTCACTCCCAGAACTGGTGCCTTTGTATAATTTCCGTCTCTGCTAGTTTGCACTCTGAGCTTTGTGCAGGTCTCAGATCTGTTCACCTTATTTCCCTGCTGAGGAGGGGCGTTCTCTGTAGAACATTATTCTATTTGTGTCTCATCACTGGGCTTCTGCTTCCTTTTACTTTTCTGCTGTCTTTATCTGACTTTCTGCTCTGGAGTGATCTAAGAGCGGGTTCTGCTGGATTTGAGTAATTTTTTTCTTCTGCTTATGTGTAATCTGAGGTTGTTGTGTTCTCTTTTTCCTAGTTATGATATAAATCTGTGTAAACATTTTTATAGTTTCTCCTTGTTTTATCCTTATATTGTTTTTGAAGGATGCATGGGGAGATTAAGATTTAGATGGCTTTCATTATCCTGTTGAAACCAGGATTAGATTCTTCAGATCCTATCTGGATGTGAAGCAAACAGAACACTGCCTATTTCCTTCTCAGTGGATTCTTTTTGTTTGTTTTTTGAGATGGAGTCTCGCTCTGTCACCAGGCTGGAGTGCAGTGCAGCAATCTTCGCTCAGTAGCGGGGACTACGGGCGTGCACCACCACAACCGGCTAATTTTTGTACGTTTAGTAGAGGCAGGGTTTCACCATGTCTGGCCACCAGGTTTGGCCAGGATGGTCTCTATCTTCTGACCTTGTGATCTACCTGCCTCGGCCTCCCAAAGTGCTGGGATTACAGGCACAAGCTTTGCTTTCCTTCTATAGGCGTCTTAATTCTTCCTTAAGAAAGATAAATGCAGTTGATTAACGTTGGAGATGTCATAGGATAAATTATTATTACGCTGTAAAGTTACCCTCTCTTAGACTGGTGGCACTAAGGGTTGTCAGATGTAGAAAGTGAAAATAGATGTTAATTTGAATTTCAGATAAGCAGTGAATAACTTTTTAGTATAAATATGTCCCATCCAATATATGGGATCTACTTAAACTAAAAAAGTTTTTCTTCTTTATCTGAAATTCAAATTTAACTGGGGGCTTTTGTATTTTATCTAGCAGCTCTCCTTTAGGGAAAGAAATGTTTGTTACCGTTTTTCACAGTCCACGTGGTACCTAGTATGATACCTGGGATGGTGCTGAGCAAAAAGCATGTGCAAAATGTTTGTTGAATTAATGCTACAAATTTAATTTAATAAGAAACTTCATAATCATAATGTTATTTTCTAATGAAATGTGAGGATAACAACAAAAATGTTCAGTGCAGTTCTATTCAATCTCATTTCCAGTTGGACTAAGACATTTATTTTTTTCAGTTATATGAATTGATGTTCTACTTAATGGTGTTCTTCATGTTTGATTTTTCAAAAAACCTTTAAAAATTCTGCTACCTTAAACTGTCATATATATATATGAGAGCTCGATCATATATTGCTAGATAAGTGGAGTGAAAGTTAGATTGATAAAATGCAGCAATCACAAAAGCTAAGGAATAACCGTATTTCAGACAGTGTCTTTTTTTTCTACCCTACAATCATACTTCATTATTACCTGCTTTATATCCCTACGTTTACGTTTATGTAGCTCTGGTGGAGATGACCTAATCTCGGAGAAGGTAAACTGTCTCCTAGCCCTAGGGAATAAATGGGATGAAGAAAGAGGTATACCAGTGACCCAGTTTTAGCCAATAACAACTACTGATGAAGCTGATACTGAGGAATTTCTTTCTCTTAGGAGAGAATGTCTTTTGTGACGTCTTTCCCTCTGCTTGGGATTCTGATGAGGGATATCATACAAGGAGCTGTGGCAGTTATCTTGAAATCAGGAGGCACTTTCAGAGGAAAATGGGCCAACAGCTGAGTCTGGTGGCGGCGAACATAGTCTGGTTCCATAATGAGTTCATTAACTCGGAGTCACCAACTTTCAGATTAACTGGATGATAATTAAATGCCTTTTCTGAGAATGGTTAATTGGGGCTTTTTTTTCCTTGCAGCTAAAAACATTCCAAGCTATGAATAGTACAAACTTATCACTAGAAAGTAACTTAAGGAATTTATACGTTAAACGAATCCTTGTAAAGGAAGTGTTATTTTTTGTTTGTCTTGGTTAGAATCTTTGGAGTACTGTGATCTGTCACTTTATTGTTCACTGTGCCCTTTCTTCCATTTTAATGAAAAATAAGGTGTTGGAGAATAAAGTGGGAAGGGCTGCGTTTTGCTGCCATGTCCGATGAGCAGCTTTTAGGGTCTCTGTAAGTCCAACTTAACATCTTTCAATATCTTTCTCCACTTTTTCCACCATGGAAAGCCCTACTCTAAATGATCAGTGAAAACATACCACTGTCAGACATGAGGACGTTTTGGACTTTGACTGTCTAAGGTGTTTATCTTAGTTATCCATGAAGAGCTTACTAATTAGAAAGGAAAGACAACGTGCTTGGAAAACCATGTTCTAAAATATGTACGTGGGCTGCAGAATGTGGCTGTGGAAAGCTGCTACCCCAGTGTTGAACTTAATTGTGTTAACATTATTCCTTTCATTAATGAATGGAAAAAAATGTGGTTTAGGCTCCAGAAACAGCATTCCAGTTTACCTTGAATATGCCACTGTAAGAGATTAGGAGTTGCTATAGAGAAAGTTCAGTGTCCTTGCTCTATACATGAAGATGCGTCGCTGTGTGGATGGTGACTTTTCTGGAATTACTATTTTTATCTAACAAGAAATTCTGTTGGATGCTATTAAAGCAAGTTGCTTGGTTAAATTCTTGAAAGGATTCGACATTTTTTGTTAATAAGAAAAACATTTGCAATTACGCTTGCTAGTGGAGGATAAAAACGAGTTCGTTTTCTTGCTCATTATACTCCAGGGTCTGGAGAGAATCTCTCCAGGTCGAAGAGGCAATCTTCTCTGTAGGTTCCTTTATTGAGTGGCTAATCAAATGCATTGTGGGATCCTTCATCTTTTCTGAAAGCTTCTGCTGCTTGCCACTGTGCAAGAAGTCCTGGACATATTATTGGCCTGTCCAAGCAAAATGTTTCATTTTCCTTGTAAGCAACTTTGTAGATTTTATACTAGTTTACATCTTCAAGTGGACAATAAAAGCAAAGATGTCAGGTAGATTCCAACAATTATTTTTACTGAGTCTAGAAGGAATGATATTGAAGCACGCTTTTTAGTGGCTATCAGTATTCATTTTGCTGATTGTCAGAAGTGAGACTGTTTTTGCTTTGCCCTGTAAGTAGATTCATTTTTCTGTGGATACATCACAGCAATAGCATATTATCATACTTTTGAAACATCACACATATCACAGTGTGGATCGTTTTTGTCATAAGTAGTTTTATTTGTTTTTAATTTTGTATTTGAAATGTGGAAATGTGTTTTGTTTTGCTTTTAAATTTTAAATGACAGTAGGTTGGGGGCCTCAATTTTGCTCTAACTTGCTCTTCCATGGTCAGAGTTTATTGCCTGATGCCTATAAAAGCCTCTTTCCAAAATGAAGTTTCAGTGTTCATTGAATAAATGTCAGCTCACTAACAGAAAAACTGTAAAGAACTCAGGGTATAAATTTAATAACACATTTCCCTTAATGTCATCCAAGGTCTCTCTTTTATTTTCTTCATAACTATTACCGTGATCTCTAATTATAGTTTGTCTTATTTGCCTACTTATTTATTATGCATCTGCCCAAATTTGAATATCACCTTTACGAAGACTAGATCATGTGTTTTCTCATTCCATAATATAGACTTAGTGTCTAAAAGGCATTTAATATGTACGGTTGGAAATTTTTAAAAATGAACACACACACACAGGCGAATAAATACATGTTTCGACAGTTTACAGATGTAAAATTAATGTAACTGTCATTACTCTAACTATTATGGGATAAGCCATCATGCAATAGATACATGTCCTTCAGAAGGACTTTTAGATAACTCAACTATGACAGACATTAATAACTAAATCCTACACATCAGATTGAAAATTCTCCCAGTGTTCACATGAATGAAAAAGCCCATATTAACATCTATGTCAGTCACTCCTTCAAATGCCTTTATCCCCAGTGGACATCTGACTACAAAGTATGGGAGGCCCCAAGTGAAAACCACACAGCTCATCCTACTCAACCCATAGAATTGTGAATGGTAATAATAAATTATTGTTTCTGGCCATTACATTTTGGGATAGTTGGCTTGTGCAATATAGGAAAAACAGAAAGTTGGTAATATAAACTTCAACTATTGATACTGAGTTATATTCCTTTTCTAAGCAGCACACCTTTATTTGAGATCATTATGTGTATTAGACATGCCCTTTGATTATATAAAAACATAAAGATGAGTTATACTGAAAGAAGTTGTGTCACTAGGAAAAAGAAAGATTTGCAAGAAAGCAAAGTTGAATTCAAATTTTGTCTGCAACCAGTTAAGGTGCATGTGGGTCTTAAGAAACCCTACCTCTTCTGCTACAGTTGCTTGATTTTATACTCCGCCCTGGTTTCCAAGCTTCCTTACCACAGTCCCTTTACATTTCTTATAGAAATAAATGTATTTTGGATAATAACTTATTAGAGGTCATGGTGAAAATCCTTTAGAACCATTAGAATATTCAAAAAGTTGAGCCTGAAGTCTCATAGATCTGGAGAGGAGCAAGGTCAAAAAATCTGAAAAGACCCATTTGAAATTCTGCATCCCCCTTATTTGTAGATACAATTTCAATACACTAAGAAGTCTTTTTTGTCTTTTAAGTTAACTACCTTAGCACCTTAATTTGAGACAGAAATCAGGGGGACCACTGTTAATGTTTAATACCAAATGTCTGCTGCTGTCTGATGAGTTTAAACAGGTTAAACTTGTATTTTACTAGGAAATTCCAAGTGGTTCCTATTCTTGGAGGGACCAAGACCATGTAATGATCATGTGCCCATCACTTGAATGTGCACAGCTTTGTTGTTTTGTGCATTTGATCCTCTCCATCCCTCGGTGTCCTCCTCTTTTCATATGTATACCACCTGTGTGACTTAGCTTTGAAAATATCCTTTGAAAGCATCTTAGCTGTGGAAGTTTTAGGGGTTGACTTAAGGAAGCTGAAGTGGCTTTTACTGTTTAGAATTTCTGCAGAGTCCTGGAAAGAGATGTAGCCTTCAGTAAAAATCTGTGAGAAATTGAAATGTGATAGAACTTAGAGAGCAAATTTATGTATTATTTTTCTATTTATTTGTCTTTCTGTTCATCCATTCGTTCATTCATTCATCCATCCATTGAAAAGATAATGATTATGTTGTCAAAAGCTGAGTGCAGAATGAATGAAGGTTTGGAGGAATATTATGTAAATATATCCCTGTGCAGCTTGATTTGTTCAACTGAAAAATGGATGGTTTTCAGTTGCCATTATATTTCATGAGATTACTTTAGTCATTTATGAAGCAATGTAAATGAAGAAAGGTAACATATTAATAAAGTTGTTTTTTAGTATTTTTGAATGATGTTTAAATTTCCTCTCCTTGACCTTATATGTCTCCAACACTAGAAAAAAAATTATTTCCTATAATGTTTTCTCAACTTTCTTTTTGTGACTTTGAAGAAATAAAAATAGTGGGAACTGAAGGCAGTTGGTTGTGCTTATCCAAGCCACACCACATTCTATTCACTTTTTAAAAAGGAAAAGGTGCTCCATTCTATGAGCACCGCTTCCTGAGACCTCTGAATAAAGAGGAGGCAGAGGTTTCTGAGCAGATTTATGCTTGCGGAATTTTGCAAATAATATAAACAAAAAATTACATTTTAGGAAATAATGGGAGTTGCTTACTGCTCATGTTTCCATAATTATTAAATAATGCAATTCAGTTGCTTCTAAAATTCATTTTTATGAGCTCCAGCATAGGAATTGTTTCTTGGCATATAAACACTTAAGAAAAACATTTTAATTGAGATCCTTCATAAGCAAACACAATTAACTAATTTACTAATTGTACAATTTGTGGGAGAGAGTAATGTGTTAAGAAATATTTGATTTTTGATTCATAGCCAGGAAGAAAGTCATTTGGCAAAACTGAATTTCCCCTCAACTTACAGTAGAATTGTTGCATGACCTAAAAAGGATAACAATATTCAAATTGAGCCATATACCAAAACCAGAGGAAAGTTGAACAATATTCACTCTGCCATGCCTTGTTGTTCCAAGGGAAACAAACTTCTGCATCCCTGAGCTCCTCCCTCGACAGTAGAGATTTCCCACCAGACTTACAAGCTCACCTCTTGCTATGTTACATCTCTCTGACTACTTCTGCCAGGAGGATTGAACATTGTTAGTGGCATATTAGAATAATCAGCAACCCCAAATGAATGTCTTCTCTTCTCGCATAATTCCCTCTGAAGGCTTCAGTCCCTGCACATTTCCTGTGTTCTTTCTTATACCTTTACATTGGCAGAGTTGAATAAGCGGGTGCCCTATTATGAGTCAATGTGCAAAAGATGAAGATTTCTAGATCTTATTTTCACTTTCTTTATTACCTGTTTTATATGCATATATATATATGGAAATATATATATATGGAAATGCATATATATATATATATATATGGAAAGAGATTTATCATGAAGGATGGGTTTATGTGATAATAGAGGCTGAGAAGTCTCATGATCTGATATCTGCAAGATGGAAGCCTCGGAAAGCCATTAGTTCTAGTCTAAGCCCAGAAGGCACAAGAACCTGGAGAACCAATGGTGTAAGTCCCAGTCTGAGTCAGAAGACAGGAGAAGCAGGAGCACCAGTGCCCAAGGGCAGGAGAAGATGAATGTCTTAGCTCAAGCAGAGAAAGCAAATCCACTCTTCTGACTTTTTTTGTATTCTGACACTCAACAGATCAGATGATGCCCACCCACATTGTGTGGACAGTTTTCTCTTACTCCATCTATTCAAATGCTACTCCCTTCGGGAAGCATGTGAACAGACACATCCAGAAATACTATTTACCAGCTATCTGAGTATTCCTAAACCCAGTCAAGTAACACATAAAATTAATCGTCATGGCCTCTCAAAAAATATTGATTTATGAATTATTGAGTATTTTTGTTATGAACATTAATGATTATAAAGATATAATAATATAGCCCAAGTGGCTTGTAATTTCACTAGGAAGGTAAAACACATATATAACCAAAGATGACTAATACGAAGAGCAGTGGATGGGTGAGCAGAAAAACACTGGGCTTTCGTTGAAAAGAATGTTCAGTTGAATGCCCAGGGATCTTAGAATTTGCTTTAGAATCATGTATTAGACAAATTTAGGTGTTCTCATTGCCTTTCATCCCCCAGTTACACAGCCAACTCCCAGATAAGCAGCTTCAACTTGGGGCACTGATTTTCTCCTGCCTTTCTGGTTTGGCCAACTTCCCTCAGATTGATAACCTTGAATATTAGTGAGCTTTTGTTGCGTAAGAAACCACGCCCTGCGCACCTATCCAGCCTCAATTCTTCCCGTTTTTCTCATCTCCCACCTCACCTTTTATAACCTGTATTCTCTTGCTATATTGACTTTCCTTAAACACTCCAGTCTCTCTATGATTATTTTGTACTTTTACCCTCATCCCCCACTTGCCATTTGGCTAGTCAGCTTGTATTAGAGGCTCAGTTTAAATGTTATTTTCTCTAGAAAGTGCTCTTAGCCTACCTATACTTTCCCCTAATTGGGTTTCATGTTCCCACAATATCCTGGCAACCTGTGTTAATAATACCTAACATGTATTGTTAAAGGGCAAGTCGGGGATGGAGAGGATATGTTCCATCTTGGTAAAGGAATGGACTGACCATAATGTACCACTGGGTCCACTTTCTGTACCTCATGGACAATTTTTTGGAATTGCTTGTCTGTCGCATGGACTGGACTTCAGGTACCTAACAATAGGGACAGTGTCATGCCAGTATGGTGACTGGAATGTAGTAAGTGAGAAGGAAAAATGACAATAGAGATGGAGGCAATGGTTTCAGACCTAGATTTCTGAAACCTGACTCAGTTTTTTGAACTGAGATATTTGAGATTGGTGTGAACCCTGGAAGCTCCAGAGAGCACTACATATAAAAGATAAGCTTGTTCTTGGTGCTGCAGAAATACCCACTAAGTTTTAGGAGCATTAGTTACTGTTGAGCACCAAGGCCTGGTAATAGAGTGGAAAGCAGTTCTCCAAACACTAATATGAGACTTGTAAAGATTCCTTAAAGGGAGACCTTTAAGGCTTGTTGATTTATTGATATTTATTTTGTTAAGTAGTTTTAAGACTAAATGGTTTCTAACGCAAGATGGGTCAAGTTTGGAAAGATTCAAAGAGGGTCACAAAATGTACAAATGAGAAATGCCATCCACTTAACGAAATCTAAAGACCGTCTAGTTAGACTTTGACTGCTGTGCTTTGATTTCTTAATCCTCAATTATGAGTAGAATTTTGGAAATGGATTTATTCTGCTTTCTTCTCTATAAGCCTATCTTGTACACCACAGCTGCCTTCTCCCAACCTCCACTATTTGCTGATGTTCTCTTGGCGTTATGTCTGGTGCTCTAACATTTTCTAACTGAGAAATGATCTGATGTCAAGATTCTATCATAGTAGTTGGGAACCATGGTTCTAGCAGAGGTGGAATAGTGGTATAAATGTGTGGAGTAAAAAGGATGATTCATAGGAGACCGAAACTTTCAACCAGTATACCAAAAGGCAATTACACGCTGTTTCCTACTTGTGCACCCCATCCCCAGGCCCTGTTCCCCAGCTCTGGCTCACAACCTCAAATGTAAAATAATTCAGGTCATCCCAACTAACCTTACTAATGATTAATTGCCCTTTCAAGTTTGCCTGATCTGTCTCTCCAATGAAGAAAACCATCGTCTTTTTATTTTATCATAATTGATCTCCTTTTTTAGTTTTTTGAAAAAAAGCTAAAATGTTCTTCCCTAACTCTTAGGAATACTGATGCCCCTATATAGGTGCTGCCATCAGTAGTAGCATGATCGTAATAAGAGCAACCAATTGTTATGTACTTTATCTTTTTTATAGCAATTGTCTGTGTTCAAACTACAGATGAGGTTTTAAGAATTTAGGTGAGTTGACACTCAAGTCATACAGCTGGAAAGTCACAGAGGTAGAATTCAAGCTCTCCTCTGCCTGATTCCCTTTAGCTCACATCCTTAGCTGCTCTGCTGAATTTGGTGGTGTTAAAATGTATTGGGCCTCCGTGGGATTTCCGGTTAATCCACAGACTGAATAATCATCCTGTGAATAATTGGACAGAGCATCTATTTTGTCTTGGGGGCAGTTGTGTATGTATGTGATAACCAAGGATTTGAAATTCACCAAATTGACTCATAAGTATTGTAATAAACATCTTAGGACTTAACTACCTTGATTTATATTTCTAAGAATTTTAAAGGCACCTGCAGTTTTGGAGGCACAGAATCTGTACTTCATAAAACCCAAGAAGAACACATCAATTTATGGTCTTCCTTGCACATGTCAAATGTTCATTTATAAAACGTAATCTTGAGAAGGAAAGTTTAAAGAAGGTCTCCACCAAAAAAAAAAGTAAAAGGGAGTGAAATGATTGTCTGAAACTGCAAAGAGAACCAAGTACTGAGAAGCAGATGTCAGACCCATTGGAAGGCATGACTTAATCAGAAATAGATCAGGACTAACCATAGCGGGCTGTTTCCAGTGGTACCCTGGATTGGCCTTCTTTAAGTCATGAACATTGATTGTTACACGTTTAGAAATTTTGCAGTTGTGGTGGTTTAATACTAATCATGATGTGAATATTTACACTGGAAATTGGGAAACACTACACATAAGGGCTATTTTTTAAAGCAGGGGTCCCCAAGCCCTGGCTGTGGACCAGTACTGGTTGTGGCCTGTTGAGAAGTGGCCTGCACAGCAGGAGGTCAGTGGCGGGTGAGCATTACCTCTGGAGCTCCTGTCAGATCAGCAGTGCCCTTACATTCCCAGAGGAGCATGGACCCTGTTGTGAACTGTGCATGTGAGGGATCTAGGTTGCATGCTCCTTATGAGACTTCAACTAATGCCCAATGATCTGAGGTGGAATAGTTTCCTCCTAAAGCCACCTCCCCACCACCACGTTGGTGGAAAAATTATCTTCCACAAAACCAGTTCCTGGTGTCAGAAAGATTGGGGACCACTGTTTTAAAGAACTGATTTACCAGCACTTTATTGCCTTTTTAATAAAGAAGTCAACTTCCTGTTGCTAAAAGTTTTCAAATATAAACCTGGTGCTTCTAGAAAGATATGATACAATAAATGGAATAAGGGGAATACATTCCACTTTATCCCTGGAAGTACTCATCATGGTGCTTAGGCCAGAGTGATTTCTGTTATTTGAGTTTCTTTACTGGAACCTTTCTCCAGCACCCGTGGCTTGTCTACTCCTTATCCACCTTTATCTGAATTTGCTTGTGTTTGGCCCTCCTCTAAGCCCTTTCTGTTTTAGTTTTAACACAAGAGTTACCTAGTTCTATGCTCTGGTGTCAGACTGCTTAGATTTGAATCCTAATTTCACATTAGCCAGCTGTTTGAATTCTGGAAGGTTACCTAGGCTGATTAAGTCTCATTTTCTTTATCTGTTAAAAGCAGATGACAAAAGTACCTCTCACAAATGGTTGTTCTAAATTTTAAATGATGGTAATCCATGTAAGGTGATTAGTAAAATGCTTGGCCATGGTAAGGACCTCGTAAATGTTAGTTATATTTTCATTTAAGGAATATCAATTTTTTTTAACTTCTAACAACTCTTGAACTCCAAATTTTACAAAGAATTTCAAGTATATGTACACTTTACCTAGTTGACTATATATGATTCTTCATTTGTCTGTAAAGCAGGTTTTTGTATATTTAATTTTATTTTCTTGTTAATGTTGTATAGTCAGAGATGAAGTCTTGTAAGCCACTGTGTCAGTAATAATGAACAATAGATGTTTTCATTCTTAGCAGAATATTGACAGGATTTGAATTGGCAGTTCACTGGAGACCCTCAGAACTTAGAGAAATTTAAAAAATATAATACCAAAGGCCCGCCACCTACCCTCATCAGCACCTCCCACCTCAGTCTGAAGAAAATGATGATGAGAACAAAGGTGTTTATTTGGGGTATAAACTGTCTTTCATTGAACTGTGAGATGTTTATGAAGACCCAAAAGAAGTGGACATACCCAGAGTGGTTTATGAGTAGAATAGTTCATAACCCTGGTATAGAAAAGGCCATTTCTTGAACTCACAGAAAAACGTCCTTAAAATTTCATTCCAAAAAAAAAAAAAATACAAGCTGATATGGATAAGAAAGTGGGAGACTTTGTGGTAACCATTGTTTCTTCGGGATATTTTCTGGTTTACGGTCCAGTGTCATTTCTAAATACTTAAATACAGTGCATTACTGAAATACAGCACATTATTTAGAACTGAGGATACCTACATTTACTATAAATATTTATCTTGCATATACTGTGCACATATGTAGTTTTCAGTAGCTTCAAATATGCTGGAAATTTCTGACTGGCCCCTTTGGTGACCACCATGCTGTGGGCTGTATGTGTGGTAATACAATTCCAGACACTCTTTAGTTTCAGTTCTGGCAGAGACGACCTCACCATGGCTGTTGATGTATGAGGGAATCACGGCTAATATGTGTTCCTTTTGCCTCTGGGTGCTGCTGTAACATAGATTCCTGGCAAGTAATTGGGGCCTAGTTTAAAGACCATTTCAACTAGGCGCTTAAGGAAATGAACTCATTTTCATCTTTGGTCAGTGTTGAGTGACATCAGTATTTCCCATAGTCTTTGCTCTCTGGATTCTTGAGGTATAGGAAACAACTCCATTAGAAACACATTTGGAAGCCTGGCCTACTTGATATATATTAACAGTCTAAGGTTCACATTCAGGATTTAGAGTTCTGATTTAAATGCCCTCTGACCTTACTTCTAACATTTGCAAAAGACACCCTAGGCGTTAACATTCTTTTTTGTCCTCTGTATTTTGGCTGCTTTCTATATTAGATTGTTCAAATGAAAGCATCAATTGGATATTTCCTCTCCTTCACCTCCTACCATGGTGACATACATAAAGAAAACAAGCAAAAAGGTGGTACAAGAATATTTAATGGTAAAGTCAGATTCCACAGAAACAAAGGTGGAAGAAAGGAACCTAGTTGCTTCACTTTTAACACACATGTTTTCCGTAGACGGCTGGTTTTCTTCAGTTTTCGTAATTACAATTTCAGGCAGCATCCCTCCACTTCAGGCTGGTTATCCCATTTGTGGGTTACCCATTTCCTGTGCATTTCCTTCCTCCGACCCACCTCTTGGCCACATTAACATTACTTCATGTCACAATCGATACCGCAGGTGGCCACAGCAGGTTTTGAAAGGAAAATGGAATAAAAACCTGTCAAGGTTGCTTTGTGTTAAATTAAAATATTTGGTGAGGAGAGGCCCAAACTCTTGGCCAGAAGGAGGCTTCTGAAAAACGGAGGCATTTCAGACATCTACACTAGTTTTTTAATCAATCTTTGTTAACCAAGTGTTAGCTGGCTGTGTATCTTGGAAGAAGTCAGAGCAATACACATATGTACTGGAAATAAAGTTGAGAATATGCCCTTATTTATGGGGTATCATTAGCCATTGTTTCTGAAGTCCTAGGCGAGACTTACTTTATTGCATGGTCTTCAAGAGACATGTATATAGTCAGGGAGACAAAATTCACACCCAAGATTCAACAGTCAACAACAGTTCAGCAGAATTTACTGGGTCGGTGTTGGTTTGCATAGAACAGAGAGAGACAGAGGGAGAGACACACAGAGAAACTGTGTGTGTGTGTGTGTGTGTGTGTGTGTGTGTGTGTGTGTGTGTGTGTGTTTTTCTAAGTTCAGAGAAGGGAAAAAGCCAAGTAGGCTGAAAAAGGCTATGTGTTAAGACGTATGTCCAGAGCTGACCTCCAAAAACTGAAGGCACAAGGAAGTGAGAATTCAGATAAGTAGAACACAATAGCAGAGTGTGTGTGCGCGCAGGGCCTCACGTGCCAGAAAGAAGTCAGGAAGGTGAGGGAAAAGATACAAATGTTCCTAACAACGTAAAAGCCCCTATTCTCTAAGAAATTGATGTTGTCTGTCATGAAAATGAATCCTTGAACCTACTCAAATGTGTTTATAATACTCAACAAAAGACGGTCTCATTTGAGGAATAATGAAAATTATTTAACAAATGTATTTAGATTTGGAAAGAAATCTAAGCTCCTGCTTAGGATGTAGTTGGAATACAAGCCGAATTGTGCCCTGCAATGCCGAGTGATCTGACCACGCCTCCACTTCTAACTTTCTGCCTTCTGTGCCGTTCTCTCCCTGTTCACTAAGCTCCAGCAATAGTCATCCTCTCTCTCTTCCTTTGACATGTTAAACTCTTTCCTGCCTTACCATCTCTGCGTTTGCTGTGTCCTCTACCAAGACACATGTCCCTAGGCTCTTGGGCAGACCAGCTCCTTCTCACATTTTACTTTTGCAGAGACTGGAGATTTTTTCCTGACCATCTCATCTAAAGTGGCGTACTCACAGCCCTGAGCATTCACCCTCGTATCACACTGTTTAAAACACAAGGAGACTTTAAAACGCGGGGAGCTCTCTGAATGGCCTTGTTTATTTGGTGGTTAATCTCCGTCTCGCCTTTAGGACAGGGACCTCATCTGCCTTATGCACAGCTGTACCCTAACATATAAATTCAAACCAGATAACTGAAAAATATATACTTTCCAATTTCTTAATTATATATAGTAGGCACTCAATGAAGTGTGTGTTAAGTGAATCAATGGCAGTGAGGCCTCCATTATATTTAGGGCATATTAAGCTTCTATTCTCCATTCCCAATATGCTGAACTATTTGTTACAAAGCAGAAAGAAAATAGTGAATGGAGAAAGACCTGGCGTGGCCCGTGTTGCTATGGAATTATGTAGCAGTAGCTCTCCTCTTTTGTTCCTCTCTCAAGTCTTAAGAACCTAGAAAACAACATCACATGGAGGGATATTTCAAAGACATGGACTTTAAAGGAACAATTGTATGGGTTAGATGAATGCTAGTAAATTATATCAGGAAAAGCTACTGGCTTAATTTGTTTTTCAGTATGTTTGTATGGTTGTAGCCATCGCAGATTGAAATTACTACACATAATAAGCTTGGGTTCCATGTTTTACAGCCTGCCCTTTGAAGCCTTCACACACATTGTCCCGTGTAGGGTACCTTTCTGGACTTGTCACTATTCTTCTTTCCCTTCTCAGAGAATTAGTGCTGGATGAATCTGTCTATTGCCTACAAATTATAGTACAATAGCCATTGTTAATTTAGTGAAAGAAGTGTGGAGGACCTGTTATTTTTTCTCGCCCATGGGCTTTTCACAGGAGCACATGTCTGGCTACTGTACAGAAGCTGCCTGTGTGGTTCCGTTTGCAGCTGGATTGGCTTCCAGCCGCTTGGTTAAGAAATTATAAAGTATATGTTCTTCAGTTACCTGGTTTGGATTTATAAATCAAATGCTATGATGCCAATTTGTGTGTCATTAAAACGTGCTAACAATAGAATGATACATCATTTTTCTGCTGTTGAGATATAATTTGCTTATTTTATGCTTTTCCAGAAGATTTATGGTATCAGAACAGGTCAGAGCTGGTGGCGGAGAAATTTCTATTTTACTTGCTTTTCCCACATTTTTCCGTCCTGTCTACCCCTGTTCATGCTGGAGATCTTTGTTTCTACTCTAGTAGACAATGTACCAAATTGCTGTTAATTGGTACATTGTCTATTTAATTTAATGCATTATCTTAAGAAGTAGAGCCAGGCACGATGGCTCATGCCTGTAATCACAGCACTTTGGGAGGCTGAGGTGGGAGGATTGCTTGAGGCCAGGAGTTCAACAGACTGGGCAAAAAAGCAAAACCTTTTATCTGCAAAAAATCTAAAAATTTGCTGGGCATGGTGGTATGCGCTTGTAGTCATGCTGAGGCAGGAGGATCCTCTAAGCCCAGAAGTTTGAGGTTACAGTAAGCTGATCACACTACTACACTCCAGCCTGGGCAGTAGAGAAAACAAAAAAGAAAAGAAAGAAATAGGTAATTCTTCAATGTCCTCACTATTTAGTAATCTTGCAGCATGTTCTTCTTCTTTCAGCACTGCAGTGACAATACACATCCCTGCCAGTCTGACATGAATATCGAAGGAGCCTGGAAGAGAGGCTACACGGGAAAGAACATTGTGGTCACTATTCTGGATGATGGAATTGAGAGAACCCATCCAGATCTGATGCAAAACTACGTGAGTGTATGCTGTAGTTAGAAGGTCTCTTTTTCTGGGAAACAGGGAAACTCATGTTAGGATTATCAATAAGGGGGATAGCTACTGAAAAATGTAGCACCATACAATAGGGTATTATGTTTTGCTTCTCTCTGGTAAAAGATGAGTTCTTTGAATACAGGAAGCCTGAGATAACCCTTTCAACTTTCCAGTGCCTTTGATGTTCTGACTTACAAAAAGAAAGCAATCAGGTAACAGAAACCCCACCACCAACACCATCTGCTGCCAGCAACATTCGCTGCTCTCAACAGTTTATCCAAGCAGCCAGGCAATACTCTTTGTTTCTTTTATGGAGAAAAGTGTACTTCAAACTTTGGTCTTTTTCTCTCTGTGCCTGTTCTTTTTTTTTTTTCAAGGACAGTAATGATCAGCCTCCCAGGAGTCTGCAGGAATCAGTTCCTTTCTTAAGAAGAAACCACAAACTCATTTAGTTCTCATTTGAACAAAACGGTTGAGTTGCTGCATCCAAGCGCACTCAGATAAACTTGTGTCTCTTTGCAGAATAGAATTCTAAAGCTAAAAAGAAACTTCAGGTTAGTCTCCTTATTTGATAGGAAAATAAACTGTAGCCTGAAGACTGAAGTGAGTTATCCATGGTCAGATGGAAGAATGGAAACCATGGCTGCCTGTCCCCCAGCAGAGATGTCTTTCTTGTCACACACGAAGAGGGTTTTCCAGCATGCTGCCACTCCCCACTGCGTATGAATGTATTTGACTAAATACAAATAGCATTCATGTAATTGTGAGTGCAGTCTTTTATCTTTTTCATTGTTCTCCTCTTGAGAAAAAATTCTCCAGAATGGTCTGTGCAATTGGCATGATTGGTGCCCTCTCGGTTTTCCTTATGTTGTACCTGGTGGGCAGTAGAGAAAGTGCGTTGGGTAAGGTGTCAGAGACTTGGGTTCCTTCCAGTCTTGATTTGTTTCACCATTT